AACACAAAGGATGGACGACTTATTAGATGAAAAAGGATGAAACCCTCACTTCTTCCCAGAACAACATCCTGTGTACAGTTTCTGAAGTCTGAAGTCTAGTTTCTTTACTGAAGGAAACCGTACAGTAAAAGATGGATGCAGCCATGGTGATGTTAGCCATTGGTTTCTCAGCCCATCTATTTGAGCCTCAGTGTCAGTGTTTTGGTTGCTGCAATGTTAGTTTTAAAAACCAGAAGTTAACATATTTGGAAAACGGGGTGGAGTGCTACGTCCTCGGCTCACACTAGCAATGGTTACCAAGCTGCATTCTGAAAGCCGTACAGAAGGAACAGGCAGGCACACTGCTACTCATCACAAGCCAAGCTTCTTGGATGAGCTTTAGCACAATTTAATCACCCGACTATAGTGTTTATGAAGGGAGTACAAAAGTATAAAGACCAAAAACTACTTTGTACCAATCTGGTTTACTGATCATTTGATGCCGGGCATTATGGAGCCTTTGGAATCAGCCTTAAGCAGCTACAGCTGGATATTCAGACACATATTTAGATGAGAAGGCCTGGCTCACAGTCTCCGCTCTAATTTATCCCAAAGGTGAGGTCAGGACTCTGTGCAGGCCAGTCAAGTTCTTCCACACCAAACTCACTCATCCATGTCTTTATGGACCTTGCTTTGTGCACCGGTGCGCAGTCATGTTAAAACAGGAAGGGGCCATCCCCAAACTGTTCCCACAAAGCTGGGAGCATGAAAATGTCCAAAATGTCTCAGTATGCTGAAGCATTAAGAGTTCCTTTTAATGAAACTAAGGCGCTGAGTGCTTAAAAACACCCGCACACCATAATCCCCCCTCCACCAAACTTTACACTCGGCACAGTCCATCAGACTGCCACCGCTCTAGTGTCCAGTGGCAGCAAGCTTTAAACCACAGAATGCAATGGCCTGATGGGTAAGTGAATACTTTAGCAGTACAGTGTATTTGTCCCATTGTGCTCTGGTAAATCCTATAGGGTCACTAAAACTATAAAAACTGATCATGGTAACAATAGACTAAGACCATAAGTTTTTTTTAAGCATCTCTTTAGAATTTCTAGTTTTTATTGCTGCACCACAAAGGACAGCCATTTCAATTTCACTGCACTCTTCTGCAAAGAGAGTAAATGCTTTTCTTTTCTACTGTACTGTGAGAACTGATTTTTGTTTGAATGAAAGCAGAGCTCACCACAGGGAAGGTACATCTCAGCCCTTTGCGCAGAATGTGGTCATTGAATAGCACCAGGAGATTGGAGGCAGAGTACACTAAAAAGATACAAAGTGACGACGAAAATATTTGAATAGTACACACCTATATACAGTATGTTCATTTGTGGACACATAATGCTTAGAAAGCTGAACAGAGTGCATAGTGATAATATAACCTGTAAAGTTTCCTCACCGCTCAATGTTAACATCAAATTATAGTCCATTATTATTCTCAAGTAAGTATCCTGTAATATAATTAATCTGCAAACCATTTATGTCCATTATGTAACTGAGGAAAAAAATACTTCAAAAAGTTTTATAATGCTAAAAATAAATAGATGTTTATTTTGTTTCGTATATTTTGGCGCACAGGCTGGGAGAGGGTCACCATTCTCCAATCAATGTAAAACAGGACATAATCTGGGATTTGAGAGAACATGATGAGATCTCTGAGCCTTCTGGCTTTTCAGAATTGATGTATTCATTCATATTTCTTCATTCACATGGCAAACTCCTACTAATATATAAGGCGTTGATGCAAGAAAGAACTAACTAGTCTGTGTTGGTCCTTAACATCTACTTACCTAGTTCAGATATTTCATGGGAATCTGTAAATCTCCCTGCAAAATACAAACAAACAAACAAAGAAAACATGCCGTCATTCATTTTGCACTGCACGAGCACTTGTAGCTAGTGTTGCCGAGCTAAAGTGAAACTAACAAGAGATCAGGAGAGTTCACCTCCCAAAAAACAATCATAAGTCCAGTTGAGCTTTTGCATTACTTCTAAACAGAGAACCCTGATCCCAACACACTGTATATAAACCTGCTGCTGCGACTGACCTGCGAGCAGGTAAGAGAGAGTGCGCACGGTACTCTCCAGCTGCGCGGTGGCAGCTGGGTTTCTCCTCACATACTCGGTGTAGCGCTCATAAATGCGCGTCACTTTGTCCAGATACTCCTTAACGTGAGACATTTCAGCTTTCTCTGAAAGACACACCCTGCATTTAACCGCTGTGCTCACAACAGACCAGCTAATCTACTTGTGTGACTTCTTACTCCTATATTCCAAAAGTATCTCGTAAACGTCCGCTTCTTCTTCTTCTTCTTCTTCCGCCTGCCATTGCTTTTTATTGTCTGTTGGCAAACAGCGAAACGGTGCATTACTCCCACCAACCGGTACGGAGTGTGGACCGAAAAGTAAATGTCTTTCAATATGATCCAGATCAGAGGATTTAACCATCACTGTACCGAGGAGGAGGTTTTGGAGTTGAACTTGTCAGCACCTGACGCTCCTGTTAGTGTAATATAAGATGTTCAACAGTTTCTTCGTCTCCACAGTAATTGCTTTTTCCTGTACTGCATTTCCATGTTATAGATAATGTTCTGTTTAAACTAGTGTGCCCACGTCTGAGTCTAATATGACCATCCTCTCCTGCTCCTTCCTGTTTCTCATTTTTCATAGATTTTCTTTGAACACATGAAAGGCAGTCCTGTTCGTTTAATAATCATCATCGGTGGATGTCGCATAAAAAGTTAGGACGTGTGCCAAAGTCAGAGGTTAAAAGTGGGACTGTGTTTTTTGTTTTGGGGGGTTTTGCCACAACACCAGAATGACTGCAGGTGTCCCTAAGTTGCGGTTGTGGTACTTCAGCATGTACCTCTAGTGAAGAGGAGCATGAAGAGAGTGAGATTTTTTTAAGTGGCAGGTAATTTCAAATATAGCATTTCTATCAGCTCAACAAAAATCAGCCAACACACAAACTGTTTGTGTGACGTTTGTCTCACAGGTCCAGCTGCTGCATCTCACAGGGAGAGAGAAAAAAGAGAGCCAACTTCACTCAGAGATGGAGAAAGCTAGGAAAGACAGGACAAGACGGGAAGAAGAGAGGTCAGATCTAAAGGTAAGGACTGATAAGTGATGTTTAATGAACTGGAAATTTGAAGCTTAAAGAACAGTGTGTGACTGGTGCACAGTAGCCGTGGGTTCATGGTCAGAGTTAGGTTAGATCAAGTCAGTAGCGGTTTTTGATACGGGCGACACGGGCGGTTGCCCGGGGCGGCATCACGGGCATCAGCAAAAAAAAAAAAAAATTTGCTCGTACTCATGCTGCCCCGACGTCA